CCGGGCCTGGGCGAAGCAGCCGTCAGCAGCGAAGCGGGCAGCGAAGCGAGCCCGGCGGCCCGGAGCGCCGCGTGGGCCATCGTGCTGAGCTCAGCTCCCCCGGGACCGGGAACGTCCGAGCGCTCCGGGCAGGGAGCGCAGCTCCCGCATCCACGCGCACGGAGCGGCGCCTCGAGCCTGGCCGGGGGCAGCGCTGAGCATCCTCCAGGATTCCTCTGGGATTCTCCAGGGGCTTCCGGAGGAGGCCCAGGGTCTCAAGCGCCTTCCCAGCACCCCAGCAGCTCCCGCTTCCCTCCACATCGCTCTTCCCAGCGCTCCCGTGGGTCACGGCCCTTGCTAGGAAGGACAAAGCACCCGCGTTCCTGTATGGAAGCCTGGGCTCTTGCTAAAGTCTCTGGGTGAAGGAGCTGATTTCAGCCCTCTCCAAAACACCCTTCCCGCTGAGGGCGGCCAGGGCCCTTCCTGCAACGCTCTTTCCAGAGCATAAACAAGGCATTAACTTCCCTGTTAACATTATTATCCCTGCTACTAACCCCAGCCGACTGCACCAGCTCTCGGCCTGGCTGTTGTCCCACCGGATCCCGGCGGGATGGCGCATCCCGCTCAAGCTCCGTCGCACCCGCAGCAGGGAAGCGGGTGCCCATGGGTGCCCTCTCGTGGCCAGTCCCACAGCCGGAGCCATCCCACATTATTCCATCCCCACTTGATCTTTTCCACGGCCCAACACCTACCCGGGCATCGCGGCACTGAAGCAGGACACAAATCCAATCTCCTGCTACTCCAGGCCACTTCCAAGCCTGCTCCGGGCTGAACCTCGGGATCGTTTTGCTTCTTGGACACAGTATTTTTCAGGGACTCCGGCTGCTCTTTGCTCGGCAGGTCGATGCCAGGCAGTGGTGCCCAGCCAATAAAGCACACGTTATTATCTTACAAAGGAAATTTATTTTGTCTTACGAGCTTATGTTACATGCATTGACTGCAGCTAGTACAACAGTTAACGACAAGGCTGGGGCTTGTCCAGACTTCCTTTAGTGTTTCTGGACTAGAACAGACCAAATTAAAAAAAAAAAAATAAAGAATTCTCGTGCCCTTAGAAAATACAATCATAATAAGGAATGTTTTTTGTTTTTGTTTTAATTATTCCTTCCCTCCTCCCTGCCCCTCAGCTGCATATATCCAATGCTTTCCAAAAAAGGAGGCAGGAGAGGAAAACCCTCACACACACACACTCCCCCCAAACACCCCCACTGAACCACCGGGATGGGAGGACTCGATCTAGCTCTACTCAAACAAGAGCACAAACAGAATACCAGGAATAAAACTCTTAGGACAAACCAGAGGCAGTACCCTTTAATAAGCTTACCGGATAAAAAACATTTTACACATTGTTCAACCAGATGCTGTAAATTCCTTCTGATTAATTCGCTTCAGTTTTATGAGGTTGGACAAGCAGCTGAATACGCTGAAATATTGATTTCTAAAAGAAAAAAATAACAATATTGCATCCTTGTCAGTTCCTGCTGGATACTCTCATACCCACAGAGGAAGGCGCAGGGTGCCAGGGGGCACAGCCTACTATAGGCTTCGTATCGAGGACGGACACGCAGAGGCGGGCGATTTCGAGCCACGGGGCCGTGGCCGACGTCGAGGGGTGGCCACGGGCTGCGGCGGCGCCGCTCAGTCCCCCGTCACTTGCGTGGCTTGGCCGTCGGAGGTCTGGTTGGTGGACTGGATGAACATGGGCTGGGTGATGTCCTGGCCTGCAGGCATGGTCACTTGCTGGATCTGATAGAGCTGCTGGCAGGGACAGAAGCAGGGAGAGGAAACGGCCGTCAGGTCTCAGCTCACCCCAAAGCGCTGCCGGGCCTTCACCGACAAGGTCAGTGTGGCTCTAACAGCACCTCTAAGGTCCAAGGAAAATCTGCCCCCAACCATATCACAAATTGCCCCTAAACATCTGGTGCTAAATTAAAACAACTCGGTGAATTTCTGATGCCTAGACTGAGCTCAGACTATTTACACAACAGTTGGGAGTTAAGCCCTCGATTCCTGAACTGGTTAGGATTAAAACACAACCAGGCTGCATGAGACCGGATTAATTTGGAGCAAGTGCAGCAGAAGAAGAAACCACCTGAATCAGACTGGTGCAACATCTGTTTACCCTGCTCTTCCACTTAGGCTTTGGTAGCAGGAATAGTGTTTTACCAGGAGCAGCCGATTTGCTGGAACATGCAGAGCTTAAGGGTCTTTCTAGCTTTTGACTCCAAAGGGATGTGGTGCCCGTGAAAGCCAAGTTTTTACCTGTCCATCTGTGAACTGGCTGAACTGCTGCTGTCCCTGCTGGACTTCTGTTTGTGTTATCTGCAAGAGAAAGAGAAGGATAATCAGCGACAGCGTTTTGGAGAGGGGCAGAACCCCATTAACAACATTCTGCTGCTGCCTCTCAAGAGCTTTCAGACTCCTGCACCTCCTGCACCCCTGCACGGTGAGATAAGGCTTGCGCTGCCTGCCCGCGGTCACGCTGGTGCCGACTGCAGGTCAGGAACAAAGAGCATGGGATTCAGACACTCCAAACCAAACACGAGCGTCTCCTCGCCGACTTTTCTAAGGAGAACGTGGCCTCCAGGATGGCAGAGAAGCAGCAGCCTTCCTATCCTCCGAGAAGGAAGAATCCCTCAGTGACCGGTCTTGGCAAGAGCAGGGAACAACGTGGTGACAGCAGCACCGGTCCCGATGTTTCACCGTGCAGCAGCTTCTCCTCAGAGCCCCCGGGGCTCTTCCCTCACCCAGCCAGGAGGAGCAAAAGTGAAGAGAAGGCTGAAGAACCGAAGGTTTGGCTGCAACCAGCTAAGAAGCAGCATGAGCTTTATACAGCGACACACACACATGCATGCACCTTTCAGTATATGTACAGGAGGCTTCCACTACGCTCCTTGTTTTATTATTCTCATGAAGGTAACGGGAAGAAAGGAATCCTACTCCAAGAGTTGGCAAATACGTCTGGAATTCGCAGTTTCAGGCTAGGGAACAACACTTTAATAGTTAATGTCAGCCTTGCTATTATAGTGCATACCTGCTGTGCATTGGTTGCAAGCGTCTGGATCTGCCCCTGGACTACCTGGGTGCCTGACACGGGTTGGGCTAAGCGGATATACTGCAGCTGGCCAGCATTCAACTGAACCTGGAGACAAGCGGAGGGGGCAGGGAAAGAAAATTAAACAGATAACTGTGTAACCTGAACACACACAAACTTGCCTTCTTGTTTCCACAACAGAAACCAGAGTAATAGATGACACTGGGAAGCTTCATTTGATTACCAGTTGAGATGAGGAACTATCACCCTGCCAAAGCAAGAAGGAAGCCCACAGAGCTCCGGTGGATTCTTGAAGGAAAACCCTGAAGAAGCACATTATTTCTTTTTCCAAAATGGGAATGGTCAGTTAGTAGCTAAAGCATATTAATTGCTAATGTTTAGAGAGCTTAAGGAACATTTATTTTTCTTTTTCGTTATGAGAGCTGAATTATTTCTTTGATGCATCATTTAATATAAAGAAAACTCTCGTAAGAGCTAACTGCACATGACGACACTCCTATTATATTCCATCAAAAATAATAAAGAAAATACAGGAAAAAATAAAAAAGACAGCAGAGATGACAAAACCCAGTGATATTACAAGACAGTAGAAGCTTTGAGTGGAAATCTAGCACTTTGTGTCAAATGTTTCGTGTTTTACATTTAAATGCAAATCTTTATTTACTATAACCTCACAGGCTAAATACTTAGGGATTTGAGGATGGTGTCATCAGGATAACTTCAACTCTCAAACTGCATTTTCTGTGATATAAACAGCTGGTTCTACTAATACACAATACAGCAATAAAAAGGTCACCGTGTCATTAACATTACTATTCCCTTTTTCCTTTGTGTTTTTTAGCTTTCAAACATTTGCATTCACAAACCTGAAGCTAGTTACGTACAAAAATTTGTTTTAAGTTAAGACGGGGGGAAGGTTGCATATAAAATACTTGAAAACTCTCCACACTGACGAAGGTTGGAAGTGCCCAGAACAGAAATTATGCTCTTGGCATTGAGACAAGCGCTGCTGACTTCACCAGCTGTGTCTAAAAGCTCCAATATTATTCCAAGAGCAAATAAACTCCACACAGGCATAAACATTTCAATAAAGAATCTGTTTCTGCATTGAGGTCTGCCTGCAGAGCATGTTCTCTGCACGGAAGGCGTCCTGCTCAGGCTTTAACTACCCTAACTGCATGGGTGAAGGCCATTCAAGGCGTTCTTCCAGCATGAGAGCAAACCCCTAAAGGACCCGTCCAGCGAGGTCGAGCTCGGATACGGATGAAATTCAATGTGGGCAAACGAATGATCAGCATTTACCTGATATACACATTTCCCTCCCGTTTTACTCCAAGCTTAGGAAAGAAGAAATATTAGTAAAAGTCACCTTCCAACAGGCAATCTGTTGCCCAAGACCAGACACAGTAAATTGCAATAAAAAGCGAGCAGAGGATCAGGGGTGCATGGAACCTAGCAGGGAGCAGCAATGAGGTTCTCTGGACGTTCAACCAGTGCTGTAGGTACCGCCAGTTTTGTCAAGAGTGTTCCAAACTTTCATGTTTGTGTTGTGAAAGATTCTTAGCTGAACCCTGGCAAATACCAGAGAGTGAAAAAGAAATCATCAGAAGACCACACTAGCTACACCATCAAGATAATAAAAAATAATAAAAGCAAAGCAGGAAGAGTAGAATGGACTAACAGCACTCAGGAGACCAAGTGCTGCTGTTCAGTGCTGGTGATTTCCAAGTTAGAGCACCAAAAACCCCTCAGAGGGAACTCTTGGTTCCTGTATTCTGTTCCACTCCACTTGCTGGAAGCGAGCAAGAACGATTTTCCCCAGCAGTAACTCTGGTTCTTCAACATGCTGTGAGATGAAGGGGATTCCTCTTTGCTGGATATGGAAGTGAGAATTTGGAATATTTCACTAAAACACTGCCAGCAAAATACTTAAGTTACTCCACAGTATGGCCTTGCAAACCTCAGAGCGCTGAGCACTCCTGCGGATCAGTCACAGCTACTTGTTTTTAAGTGTTCCCAGGCAGAAGGAGGGTAAAAGCACAAGCCTGGCCAAAAGCAGACACTAATTAATAAACCTCCAGGCTTATATTCCTAGGATGCACAATCACCTACGTGGAGAAGGGGCGATTCCGCAGAACGCTGTGGCACTTCTCTCCGCTGCTGTTCAAAGAACTGTTTCTCCTAGCAGATCTCCCTGTCTTTCTTGCAGGGAATTAGAGCGTTCAGTGGAGACAACTGGGAAACAAGCTCCAAACTGTTCTCTCATCACTGCAGCAAAGGAGGATGCTGCTGCATTCACTTTTGTACAGTACTTAGGGCAAGAACTGGAGATTTCCTTCCAGAATGGTTTTTTAAGGATGAGTATCCAAGAGAGACTTCCATAAGAAAAAGAAGAATGCAAAAGAAAAGCAGTGGACAGTGTAGAAGAGAGGAGGGGAAAAGGAGTTACATTTAGTAAAACAGATTTAGTAAAGAATTGGTGAATCCACTTCCTTTCTGACCAAAGCTCTAAGCCAAGCAGTAGGAATCAGCTGAAGACTCAAGAGATGAAAAGGAGTGGGAAGTCAAGTCGAAAAATCTGGCAACACTCACAGTCTAAACTATTTTCAAGATGCGATGTCAAAGCAAAAACATTTGCCAGACATACAGAAGGGACAAGCTGGAAGCTTGGCAAATCTTGACAAGCAAGACCTGGGTAAAAGTTCACAGTTTTTGCCACAGCTGTGGATAAGCTTCATCATAACAGAAATCAAAGGCAAAGTGAAACGCTTGTCTTGGTCACTTGGTCTGACCTTTGGCTCTTCTTGTTAAGCACACACAACTGGACAGGTTTTTTTTCTTTAAGAGGTGTGAAATTTTCCAGATGGGAAGAAAAAGACCCACCTTTTTTTCCTATGTAGCTTCTAATCACAACAAAAGTGACATTTGTTTGACCCACATGTTTACCTAGGACACGTGCCAGAAATTTACTACTGATGTTGAGTGCTCAAAATCACCTTCTCTAGGCCAGTAGGTCTCTACTGATGTGAAAAAAGGGGGTATTTTCTGGTTCTGCAAAGCCCAAAGCTTTAACTATTTCCAAAGTATTCTGTAGAAATATTTTTACAATATAACTGTTTATTAAAAACTCACAGATGGCACCTTTCCCACTCACTCTGACAGGACATGACTTCAGATGGCAGAGGCAGAACCAAGTAGAGGTAACAGATGTCAACTACACGTTCCTGAAACTTTGTTGGAGCAAAGGACTAAGACTTACCCAGGAAATATTTTACTTATTGCTTCCTAATCTTAACTATTTCATTAAGGGGGAGCCTTGGGGGCAGGGAATAGATCTGCACTAGATGGCTTCGATTTATTTACCCTCTTCCTGTCACATCTGGTTAGTTTTCCTCTCTTCAAGGCAGAAGACACACCACTCAAGTCAAATTTCTTACAATTACGAGTATACAGATACGGTCTCATGCCAAAACCCCCGTGGACAGTTTTCCCTCACACGACACGCTCCCCCCGGGAAGTCTTACCGGGATCTGCTGGATTTCTCCCGTGTTGGTGATGATCTGCTGCATCACTTGCATGGTCTGGCCCGTGCCGCTCTGGGCCTGCTGCGTTTGTCCCTGCGGCTGCGCCTGCACGATCTGCACCTGCTGGCCCTCCCCGACCTGCATCGTCACCGGAGTGCTCTGAGGGCAAAGGGGAGGGACAGAGACCAAGCAAGGCTTGAGCACGGGTGACACAGCCGCAGGACACAGGAGAGGGAAGCACAGAGCGCTTCCTAAACCCCCATCAGCTTCCTGAGGCTTAAATCACCACCAAGGGAAGCCAGGGCACGTGTGGCCCTCATTATCAAGGTATCTGAACACCTGGCCACCTCCTGTATAATTATCCTTAGAACATTGCCAAGCTGGAGGAAAGTGCTGCTTTCTGCTTTTACAGAGTGCTAACTGTGCCAAAGAGAGGCTCAGACACTTGCCAAATATATTCAAGAAAATGCATGTCAAAAGGGACTCCAACTCAGATTCCAGAACTCTGAAAATCGCAGTGGCCTGGTAATTGGAACAGGTTTCCTGCCAAAAGAGTGTTCAACTGGAAAAGATGCCGGGTTAGCCTTACTAACACCACAAGACAAGGAAAAATCAAGGGGTGTGAGAAGAACAGAGGCCCCATTTCTGTATGAATGTCTGTACTGCGTCTCTTATAGTACCCGTTCATGGTTTTGCAAATAAATTGACTCTCTAACTTCAGGGAATTAAAAATAAATAAATACAAAAATAAGAGTCATGTGATTGACAAGCATCCAAATACAACCCCAAATTTAGTATGGCTTCCCATTTAGTTGGAAAAAACGATCTGTCGTGTGGCTGTCATCATTTGTTGCAGAATAACAACGTGCTGTACTTCCATAAAACATAATCAATAACACAGAAAGCAAAAAGGCTCTTTCTATCCTGCCTTGTGCACCAGTGCAATTTGGCGTCTCGACCACCTCCCTCTACTGCAAAGGACATGACCAGAAAACACATTTCTGTGAGATATTCTGCTCTCAGCAAGGAGAGCAGGATCCTGCAATATATGAGAGGCAACCGGAGGGTTCTGCAGGCTCCCCTGAACTGTGAAGCCCCCGCAGCGACTCACCTGGCCCTGCTGGGGCTGCGCGATGATGATCTGCCCTGGTTGGATGGTGGTCGTGGACGTGGTGGTCTGTTGGCCCTGCTGCTGGCCCTGGACCTGCACTGCAGCGGGCTGCTGAGCCAGAGTGAAGTAATACTGCACGGGCTCGGCGGGCGTCACGGCCTGGCGCACCTCCTCCTGCGCACGGGGAAAAGGGGCAAAAGGAGGGAGGGAATCAGCACCCAAAACCCCTACCCCAAACCAGCTTTTCTGGAAGAGCAGAATTTGGGGATTAAGTGTAAAGTAACTCAAAATCTAAATTCTTCGGCTCCCTTGCACCCTGCTGAGGTTGTAGTTCAGCAGATGTTCACTCCATGGCAGAAGGCGTAAACAATCCTCTCCCAGCCACCTCGAGTGCACAGCTGAGAGTGTAGGATGTTTACACGCGCTACAGCATGGTGGATCCCCAGCTACAACCTTGGTGTGACTCCCTTGCACCAAATGAGCCCTGCTGGTGGGTAACCTTCACTATATCCCACTGGACAGCTAAAGAAGAGCTCAAATTAAACAGTATTATCTAAGTAGGGCATTGGGGTTGAATAAAAGAGCCCTCTCCCCGAACTGCTAGGCACCTAGAGTGAGAGCAATTCAAAAAAAGATTTATTAATGGAAGGTTCTTCAAAAAGCTACCAAAAATTACCCCCCAAAAGGTTAAATTGTTCGCTGCTTGCTGCAGCCAGGAAGTGACTTCTGAGCCTGCCTCTCAGGGCAAACAGCATTAGCAGCATCCAGCAGTACTGCAAACCCCTGCAACCCAACACGAGCAGCCCTTCCACACGGGTTAAACTGACTGATTATTCCTTATACGACCTTCGGGGAGGGATGAATAACAAATTTAAAATATATCCACAACGGGACACACACCGCCAGTTAATCATAAAACTGCATGGCAAAGAGCTGCAGTGGTTTCTGTAAAACCTTAGATGTGTTATTTCGAGAGCACTGCAATCCTCAATTCCCAGCTGAATCCTAAAAAAATTAAGGCGACTGAGCACTTCTATAAATATCTATTCCAGGTTAAAGTTGCATGTGCTACGGGCAAAATTGTCTTTAAACCTGAATTTGCTTAAACTAGGTTATATCCCACCATTTGTGGTCTTTTATTTTCAAGCTGAGCTTTAGTTACCAGAGCAACATAACAGTCATGGTTTTATTCCCAGCCCTCCCCTGTAACCAACACTAACTTGTCAAACAGTCTTTTCTGTGGTAGAGATAAAATACAGGCTGTATCCCAGGCCAAAAAGGGCAGGCTGTCAGCCTATAGGCAAGCCTTTTTTTCCCAAGCTCTTGAATCAAAGGAATATTTTCCACTAAAAAGCCCTAACCTTTCTCATTGGGAAGTAGTTAATTCTCCATCACACCTCTCCTGTCATTCCTACTATTCCTAGTGATTCAACAGTGTTCCCAGACAGTGGGAAGACCAGTGTGACACACAGTTTGCTAAAGACCATTTCACCCCCAGGGATGACTGTGGGGACCAGCTTCCCCTGCTCTTTGTGCTGTTAAATCCTTCATAGAAAGCTCTGGTGTGAGGCATCATCAAGACAAGTTAACACAGCAACTCACGTGCACTTAACACACTACTACTTCACATATCAATTTGATTGCAAAAGATGAGTTTCCCTTTCACCGTGGATTCAACAGCTCCAGGAAGCTGGGAGTTGTTTGTGCTCCCCAGCATAGAGTAATTATAAAAATAGCACTACTATGCTATTTAGGAGTGAGGCACCTTAAAAAAACAGAAAAGAACTCCAAATTTGCAGTGTCAACACTCACCTGTTTCACTTCAAGCTGCAACCAAGTAGTTTCTGCTTATTAAGTTGAATAAAGTGAAAGGTGGAATCCCTTTCCCCCCGTTAAACATAACGAAGACCAGCCAGCTGCTGTGAAGCTGCTTCTTTTGTCTTTTTATGCAATACTGCACTAATGATTTTTGGATAAATCACCTCCCGCAGGGACGAAGCGGACAGCTCGGTGGGGGAATGCGAGGAGCGGTGCAGCTCGCTGAGAACAGGCGCTCGCACAACCGCACCAACACCTTGCAACAGGGCTAGGGTTAGTGACAACCGGCTGCAGGGGTGGGGAGGACCCCGGCACGCACAGTGACAACCATGTGCATCTTCCACCTCCACCTGCAACTCACGCTGTCTCTGGAAAGAGGAATGTGAGATCACACAACTCGGGACACCAACAGAAAGGATGAAATTTGCACTTGCTCTTTGGCCAGCACAGTAACACAACCACCTGCAAATTCCAGGTCTAGAATGGGAGCACAGCTCAGCGCACCATGAAAGCAAGGTTCTTTTCTTCTTATTAGCCAGCTGTTACCTAGAAGAATGTGTACGGATGGTAAACCAGCCACTTCATCAGGCAACGTGTAAAGAAGAGAGATAAACAGCTTGACCACTGAACTGGTAAACTATTAGCAGCAAGAAAAGAACAGACTTTAAGTGAAGAGCATAAATTTATCTACCAGAAAGCTGGATCTCTTTCTTTGTGCATTCAAGCAACAAGACTGGGCTTCATCCCCAACTCATTTCATTTCTTGGCAGGCTCCCAAACACAGAGGGAAACTGGCGCTTTGTAAAACACAAACCTGTTGGGTTTTAAAGAAGATCTCGTGCTCAGATGACCGCAGCAGCCTGCCGCTGTAAACATCCGACTGAAAGCTTCTTCCAGTACCTTACAGCTTCCAGTCAAGGATGTTTACAGTAGCAACGACTGCCCCAAAGGATGTGGAAGGTGGTAGTTTTAAGCAAATCCTCCTGCTTCTTCATTTACCAGTCCAAGGATGTAGATTCAGCACATTTTAAAAAGTTAAATATGTAATTTTAGCAATATTTATCTGAACTATTTAGTAATGCCTTGTCACTTAAATAAATCTCCAATTTAGGCTTCTATAAATCTCCACTCCATTACTACAAATTCTGTTTTTCATTATAAATATTAAAGGACCTGAAAAATACTGCAAATCGGCATGCAAAGAGAGGCCCAAACCTCACCTTTAAATCTGAGATTCCGCACTGCTTTATCAATTCTTTATCAATCAGAGCACGAAGTCACATGAAGGAAAGGACAGACAAGAGAGTAACTGTCTTTCTGTCTCACCTGGCGCTTTGGAGGCTTCAGTTCATCTCTTGGAACGATATCAATGAGAAAGTCAAATTGATCAAACTTTGTAATTGCCATGGCGATGTCATTGCGCTATAACAACAAAAGCAGAAAACCATTCTTCAGCTTCAGAATTTCATCTTGCCCCTGGATACATACAGTGAGAGGTTTTTAATTAATCCATTTGAGAGCCTCTTCTCGGGATCCCAAATGGCAAATCCAGGTAGACAGAACTTCTGTCTCAGTAACAGCACCACCAGCTCATGCTGGGAACTCCAAGTTGCTCAGCAAAAAAAGTGCTTATCAAACCTGGACTATTATAATCATCAAGTATTAGCTGCAACATATGCTGAGTCTACAAATCTGAGGACAAGAAAGCAGCGAGGAGGGAACACAGGATGGAATCTTATTCAGGGCAACAGAATGCCAAGATATGTCAAGAACGAGCTTCATGGAAGGAAAAATGGTTAACAGAAAGTATATAGATTAAAACATATACTTAGCAAACTGCTCAAATGTGCATCAGAATAAGGATGTGCACAAGTCAATGAGCAGTATGAGGAACTGACAAGATAAATGTTGTCCTACAGGTATTTATAATTTTCATATCTTAACTGAAAAAGAAATCTGAAGATTAGCATTAGGTCATTAAAAACCTGAATAAAGAGCTCGCGTGCAGTAAGTCATCAGTTAATTGTATTTGTTCAAGATCTGAAATAACCTGAAGACTTAAAGGCTGAATTTCTAACAAAGAGGAAAGCTATTCCATCATTTTTAAATTCTTGCAAAGCCAACCTAAAAAAGTAGAGCTAATTCAAGAAGCTATTAAAAGTCTCATTTTCATTAGCTGAGGATAAATTTATAAAGCATAGATGTGAACATGACTTGAGACAGAGGCCTACGCTGCCTAATGAATGGGTAAAATTTAGAGGGTGATCAATCCTCAACGTTTCAGGCTAGTTGGCATTTTTAAACCTTATATTGTCTTGGCATTTAAGTGCCAAACAATGATCACAGAGAGAGCACAAGGAAGAGGCATTTCTTTTGTTCTGCAGGCAGCATACTTTATAAGACAGTATCTTCACCAAAAAAAAAAAATATGAACAGATGCAGCTCATATTTCATTCTCAGTGCTCAGGATTGGGTTCAATCCAATTTCCTCTGGAATACAGTTCCATAACTCAGGCCTCTGCACTGTAAATTTTCTGCCCCGCTCCTCGATAAGCAGAGGCTGCATTTCTCCAGCTGCACTGTCGCTGCGGAGAGCAGCTGCTCCAGGATGGCAGCTGCCGTGGAAAGAAAGGCGGTCAGAAGTAAAACCTGAGTCAATTCAAGGTCTTACATATTAGGATCAAGATTTAAGTTTGATTCCAAAATAAAGGATTCATCAGAGCTTGAAAACTGCTAGCAGAACATGACTGAGTCAGCATTTGCTGCTTATGAAGCCTCTTGCTCGTGATACATATATCAAATACATCCTTCCCCTAGTAACTACATTCAAATCTGGGTTAAGCAAGTTGCATTAACTCAATTTAGTGCAAGTGGAGTGGCTAGACACGCATTCAACAGGACAGATTTAGACTGAAGTCAGACACGTCTCCTTGCTGATACAGCAATCTCTGTATCAGGGCTCAAGAGATCTACACCTGGTCTTAAAATAAATAAATAATCAGTGTCTCACCTCTGAATGAGGTCCTAAACTAATGGCAATTATAGTTTTGAGTAGCTCAGGTAAACATTTAAGCCTAAAAATAATTACGAAATGTTTTCATGCAACAAGAGACACTGTCAAGTGTTACAATTTACTATTGAACCACCCCAAAACTGACTATCCTTGAGGAACTTTCTCAATCCACTGAAGAAAACTTAGCATCGCTTAAGAAACCTTAACATCTTCGAGGATTTTTGGGGTTTGTTTTTATTTTTTCCTCTCTGTAAGCCCATCAGTACAAACTAATAGCTTCATGTCTATGTTAGAATTGCTACTGAAGAACAAATAAGCTAGCAGTTCAATAGCTAAAGCTATCCAGAGTCATTAAAGTGGGTCACAATAGCTGACAGCTGCAGAGGTTTTTCTGTTTGTTTTGGTTAGTTGTTTGTTAAGAAAAAAGCCTTTAAGCTGCAGTTACAGCGGGCACTGTGTCTTGCGCACAGGTTTGTAGTGATAAACACAGGTACTAAAGTTACTGTCCACAAAACACAGCCCGTATTATGGGAACAGAGTTGGAAACAGCTCAGGAGGCAGCTGAGGACTAGGGAGGAAGAGCTCTGTTACCTGCAGAGTCCGGCGCTTGTTGTCTTCAGTGTGGATCCACGCTCGCAACGTCAGCTCCGTTATGAAGATCTGAGCTGCCTTGGCGAACAGCACAGGGGCTTCAGCACTAATCATCTGCAATTACACGTATGCAATGTTTAAATTTACCTTAGCATGCTGAAGGAGCAGGGACACTTTCACCTGCAGTCGAAGTAACCTGATAGCACTATTCAAATCTGAATGGTCGCATTGTTTAGAGGTAAAGTTTGGGGAATTTCCATCTCTGAAGATCTGTCTGTGGGTTTGGCAGTCTGAAGAGTTACCAGCCTTGATTTAAAGGTGGTGTTAAGAATATTGGTTAAGAATAGCTCCCTTGTATAGAAAAACAACACACACCTTCCTTGGGATCTCATTTCCATGTTAAAGATTGGCCCAACAGAAGCATGGTGTCACATGGAGGAAAAAAAACAAAAGAAAGTGCAAACTGTTCCCTCCCCTCTTAGGAGCCGAGTCTGAGGCAAAATCTTCCCATTTAAAAGCAAGGAGATCATTGATTTGTTAGTAAACTTTCATTAGTCATGCTTTATCCATCACATGGTGAATGAAGCACCATTTTCTTGTTTTCTTTTTTTCTTTTTTTTTTTTTTTTAAATATCAAGGCTTCAGCTTGAATGCTGGTATCAAGCCCACATCTTCTACCTAAGAAGACACATGAATGCACCTTCACATCTTCATCTAGTTTCATTATCTTCTTAATCCGAGCCAGGGGAAGTTCTTGAACTCTGAAGTCTTTCTGCAGAGAGAAACAAATGTGGGGAAATGTAAAACAAAACAAAGGAATCTTCAAGATTTCTTTATGAAGATCATCTTTATCTACTGCATCTCATTACGCTATGAATCAATTATATTTAACTTGTACTTCAAATTTTAGCAGTCGTAGCAGAAAAAACCTCACTGTACGAGTATTCATCAGATTGTAAAGCCATCTTGCAGGGTATAAATCATTAAGTCTACTTAATCCCACAGGAAGCAAGAATATGTCCAAATCAAGAGTCATTTTACTACCAGACAGTAGCAATTACTGCAATTTCTTTACTCTCCGTTCTGCAGAGCGACGCTTACCACGGTGAGATTGCGAATCTCCTCCATGACGCGCGGCCAGAAGGACTGGAGGCTTTGCTGGGCATCGCTGTTCCCGGCCGTGCCGAAGCCACCGTCCGTGGACATCCTGAGCACTGCAAGGGACACGGAAAGACGCGGACGTCAGCAGGGAGCGAGAGCCAAAGAACCCCAGAGCTTCTCTGCAGGCCACGCGGAGAGGAGACGCGGGAAGAAACGAGGACGTTTAGGCAGAGCTGGGATGCTCCTGTTTTGCAGGTGAAAAAGAAACCGGAGGGTAAAAGCTGAAGCCTATTTCTGAAGTGCCTTGAGGCGTTCACAGAATAGATGAGTGCATGGCAAGAACAGAACATCAACACTTTGCAATTAGAGCCCTTCTGCTCGCTGGAGGGCAACCCCCTTTACAGATATCAAACTCGCAAAGTCCTGGCAGTTGACAAAGACTAAAGAGCTTGAATTTACAGGAGTAGAAAACAGTGCAGACATAACCAGGGGCTTTTATAAGCAGATCCGAGGCTCCTTCTTTAGTGCCATGGGATGTGATCACATGAGGCCATCTCATTTGGGATGCCCCAAACCTGCAGGCTCAAGAGGCTGCTGTTGAAAACAGAAGCCACAGCATAACCACAAATAAAACCCAGATCCCTCATCCCAAAAATTCCACCTTACACAAAATGCTCTGCCTCGATATCCTTCCATGATAGTCAGAAATAAGGGTAATACACAAATATTTTTGAACAGAGCCATTGCAAAAACACCATTCTCCTCCCTGCCAGCAGATTCTACCATTCTACCAATACAGAATTACCACCTGTGGCTGGAAAATACTCAGAACCACCCCAAAAATGCCTCTGCTCGAGATGCTCTCAGTTCTATAAGATCTGCTATCCCACAGACCTCACAAAAAAGATGATTATTAGCAAGTGACAGGAAAAACAATACAGTGACTGTGTACTACACATATGTTGTTAAATAGATCATATTTAATAGCAAATAATTTAAAAGATGACACAGCACCTAGAAGAAAAATCTGGGCTTCTGAAGACTTAAAAATAGATCTGTAGAGCTGAAAAAATGACTAATTAGAACAAAAACTAGTTTGGGCGTCCTGTGATACTTGGCGTGAACGGATCGCTCCGGCGGCGGAGCCCGTTCCTCCATTTACAAGTGAAATGGCCAGAGCCACCTGCCCGCTGCGGAACGGGCTCCGCACGGACACCTGAGCCTGCCGGAATCAGGAGGAACAATCTCGCAACCAAGAACTCGTTTCACCACGAGAATATATGTCACTTAATCCGCATCCAGTAACATGTTTCTTTAAACGTTCTCTAGGCGGAGCGGAAGCGGTGTAGGTTCACAGCACAGTTGGAAACACAAAGGTGCCAGAAGCACAGGCAAGAATTATTCTCGTTGACTTTTTGGGGGTGGGAGAATGAAAAAAATACTTAATTGTTGCTGATATCAATGGTTTCTTGCACCTTAATACTGAGGCCTTGCTTGCACGATTATGTAATGTGGAAATTATGTAAGATGCCACCCTAGGTGTGCTGCAGGTTGACAAGTGCCATGAAACCCGCACACCAGCCCCGGCTCCACCATCATGAAACAGCTCCCTTTGCAGTACAATTTGGGCAGGCCAGCATACAAAATAAGAAAGAGATGAAGAAAAAGAATTCCAGGCAAATGATGCCAAGTATCTAAGACAAATCCTGCAGGCTCTCTGGCTCCTAAATTAAACATCCAGGAGAAATGGAAAAGCTCTTTACTTAAGGAGCGCTCAACTCAGTCGACTCTACTTCACATCGTAGAGTAGTTGGGAGATAATGAAAACAAAACCACACGTTGTGTTTGATCTCAGGAATCCTACCATTAAAGTGATGCTCTGTATTGCAGCTTCATAAAGCTTAGAAAAAATTATAATCTACAGATCTTGTAAAATATTCCCCAGTCCTGGTACACATTTTATTTGCTTCCCTTTAATTGTGCCCTTAATAGGGATAACCAAAAAAGAGCAGTATCTAGCTAACCTTACCAAAATTACGCTGCCTCGGTCTTCAATAGTTATTTGTTTATAGTTTAATGAAAAAGATTAAAAAATGGGCAAAAGCATGAGGGCAGCACCTGGTTCTCTGCATCTTCCTGGGACTTGCACCATGGAGGACTGAAGCTGTCACAGCTGCAGTGGCATCAAGCAGCCACAGAACAAACGGCCTTGACGGATTAAAAGCCCAAAAGTTAAAACATGAGCAAAAATATTTCCAGCACCCACCAGCACTATTTAGGAGGAAGAATCAGTGTTAAAGTCATGGGTTCTGTTTTTTCAGAAAATACTTGAAATATTCAAAATCCAGCAGCAGTGTTGGGCTTCTGCGCTCTCTGCTCGGTACCTATTAATACCAAAGCCCTCGTTTAGGAGGCCCCTTTGGCCTCTGCTGTCCCCAGCAGCTCACGAAAGCTCAAGTGAAGCTGCCTCCCATGCGCAGGGCTCTGCCTTCAGGGTTCGGTTTCAGCTGCCCATTTCTTCTTCTGTTTCAGTCGCTGGGCAGAAGTTCTGATCTCCTGGGCAAGAGACACCTGTACAGGTGAGGAATTCTTCGACATTAATCTCTATACGCTTTGAATTATTTAGATAATTCTGCATGAAATTAAAGAGTTTTCTGGATAAAAAGAGACCTCTGGACATTCTCCTGTTTTCTTAGTCTTTGGAAAGCCAGGTAAGTCATTCAGCTTAACAAACTGATTGGGGTGACTGCTATTAACCCCCTGGAGCAGGCCAGGCTCACAGGACACCGCTCCAATGTCCAGATGCTGCAGCTCGTTTAGGAAAAAGCTCTGCTTTAATTTCGGTGCTACCGTGGTCTGTGCCGTGTGTCTCCGCATTTTTAGGCTCAGCCACCAGTCTGCTAGAGTGGGAAAGGCAAAGAAAAAGAGAGAAAAGCCTTTTGAACCACACCAAAACAGCAGCAAAAACTACTTAGAAAAGTATGATGGCAAACAGGATATTCACGAGAACTTGTGACACATTTAGGGCAAAGGAAAAGCTGTACCAACCTATAATCAATCGGTTTTGTCCCTTAAGATCAGCAAATTCTACACTGCTCAACATGCAGACAGGACGGTCCCGTCAGGCCTCCCTCCACTTGTGCTTTTCATGATCCTTTACTATAAACATGCAAATCCAGGCGCCTCCAGGTCACCTTCAGCGAACGGAAAAGACACGAGAGCGACACGGATTTATCAGGAAGCGACTAAAGAGAAAAGCAGGTTCTGAACAGACAACTGAAGAAAATGCCCCAAGCAAGAGAGCTCGGGATGCAGAAAGCCTGAGTTTTAGAGAACAAAACTAAAAAACTTTCTGGAATTGGCAGGTATCCTGGAGGTTGATCTTGCAATCAGTACCTGTATTTTTGTCTCTGAAGTACAAACTATTTTTTAAATTAAAACATTATAATAATTAAAGGCAGTTTAAGTTAGCCACTATACAAATTTAATTCATTTCCTACAGGGACAGGCAGCTAAGTTCTGAAATTAAGAAACTACTTCATGTGACCACACTATTAAAAATGCAGATGTCATGTTACGTTATATAAATGCAAGATCCCAGCCTGATTAATATTATATGTGTGTATATATATATATGTATAGATAAACTGCAGCTTGAAAGGTGACCTCTCACGGGCATCCACCACCATTATATGGAGCACAGAGACATCTTCCCCCCACAGTCACTAGGGCTTTCAACCCAGGGACAGCAGTTTCTCACAATAAACTTGTCCTTTAAACCTCCATTACGTGCACTGTCAGCTAAGGAAATATCAAAAAATCCACACACAGCAGCCCCTCAAACAGAAATAAGGGGGTTTCCTAAGCCTGCAATTCTAGCACGTGAAACTACTAGGAAAGCCAAGGGGCCTATGGGCACCAGGGAGCTACTCCTCACTTTGTCACAGCTCTACTACAAGTTTTATGTTTTTCCTGCCACTCTTGGCCTAGAAAGGTCAAGAAGGAGCTGCTCTTGCACAGCTATAACCTCTTGCAATCTTCAGAAATGAAATACAACAAATACTGGGTTCAACAAACACTCCTGCAGGATTTATTTTATCTGAAAGTAGCTGCACATTTCCCTGCTTTTTGTTGCACTTCAGAAGCCCAGAGAGGCCAAATTCATCCTGACTGCATGGAAAATTTGCCTCTACTAGGTAAGATCTCGCTCGTGCTCCGAGATGCTGACAGTGACCTTCATGTCGGCACTAAAGTCCACGGCTCCCGGGCTGCTCCTGAAGTTACTGCTGTTTCGCTAGCAGACTTTAGCAGCCCCCCGGCATCAATAGACGGCTCTGGGGGACACGTTCCTCCTGCTGCCTCCTTCGCAGATTTGAAGCTGATGGGACCAACCAGAAGCCACAGGAAACTGAGGAAGCTCTGCCTGAGAAAAGGTGGCATTACTCACCAGCCTCGGTTTCAATGAATATTGCCAAAATAACGTGTGAGGGCCGTAACAGCTCACAGACCCCTCGGGTGCAGGTTTAATCCTTCACCACGGTCCTTTGTTAGCGGGAAACATCCACGTGCGGATTCCCTTAAGGCGCCGAGGGGCGAGCAAGGGCCCCCTTCTTCATTCCTCAAAAACGCCTTGCACAACCCGATTGCCTCTCGTATCCCAAACAGCCCTTTTGAGGTCAATAATTAACAATTGGAGGGGAAAAAGGAAGATAAGAGGAGGATGGAGAGGGCTGGAGCTCCGTGACACGGCTCGCCCCGACGCGCAGCATCGCGCGCCGACTCCTCGGCGCCAGCCAACTTTCCCTTCCACCTCCGCGCGTCCCTCCTGCCCTCCCGGCCCCCGGCCCCGGCTTCGTTTTCCAGCTTTGCCTCTTTTTCCCCTCCCTCTTTCCCCTCTTTCCTGCCCGGTTCAAAGTTCCGCGAACAAACTTTGTCCTT